TATATATATATATATATATATATATATATATATATATATATATATATGAATGTTTCTGTTCAGTGCCCTGAGATGACTTCTATTGTGACTTGGCATTATATAAATAAACTGAACTGAATTTAATTGATTATATTAGCTAATAGAATTTTGATTATTCCATTCATTAAAGCGAACCTCAGAATATAAGCGTGTCCTTCATGCACACAGAAACCACAGACGCACCTTGTTGCTTTACCGCGCATGCTGTTGTCATTAATTACTCTCATAACAGAAACAACAGCGACGACTTTACAGCCAAGTTAAAACAGTGGTATGTGCGGTGGATGAAAACCTGCAGAGTAATTAATTTTAATTAAACTAATTTGTTTATCAGTGTGTAGATCGAAAAGCTGCAGGGATTAACATAACCTGATCAACATGAACTTCAAAAAATAAATAAATTAAAAATAGAAGCTTTAAGGTGACTTATGTCTACCTTTTACAAACAGTATTTAAAGAAATCGCTGAAACGTGGAAGTGATGTCACTGTTAAATAAGTTCCTCACTCAGCTGAGACTGTGGGACAGACGGAGATGAAAAATTGTTAGAAAATATATTTTCAAATGTCGCCTCAATGAGTGTTTGTGACTGAGCAGTCATATTTAAGAATTTCAAACTAATAGGATGGAATGAGTGAGCGTGAACTGGGAGTGAAAGTGTGATGGGAGGAGTGATTACTGAGCAGATGAACAGGTGTGAATGATTGACTGAAGACAAGGATAACTGAGGAAAACAATGGCCTCCAAACCAGAGACAGGAGTGTGTAACAAAAACAAAATGAAAACATGACTCATGTAAATCAGACTCGTCACTCAGCCGTTCCATCAGTTTGATTTTTGAACGATTGTAAATTTGTTGTTGATAAATGTCATAAAACATTCTCGTCACCTCACTTTCCGCACTCTTTGACTTGAATCTGAATCCTAACTTGAAGCAGCAAATATAGTATATGTGATTTCAGGTGAGCTAATTAAGAAAACAAACAAACAAACAAAAAAATACTGAGAGATGGAAACAGTTTGAGAGGCAGAATTTTTCATTTGTGTGATGCTATTTGAGTTGAACGTGAATAAAACCATGCAATATTCACAGTTAGTACAACAGAGAATGTGTTCAAGGTAACCCTCAGCTACTGCCACAACAAACCTTTGCTGAACATCTGTAATACTAACAGAGTTATATTCATTTTTGTTATGGCTAAGTTCGATCAGCTGTGGCGGCCATCTTAAATCAGTTTGACTCCAAACATTAATAAATTGTAAAAGTACATCTGAGCATTACTTTCTGAAAGTTTCATAAATATTTGACTAGTGGTTCACAAGCTTTTTTGCTAACAGACATACATAGTTGAGGCCAAATTTATTGTCAAATGCTTAAGGAAAAAATTCACGCAATATGTAGTGTTAACATATGTGTTGGAGGTAATACTCAGCTACTACCACACCAAATTTTAGCTGAATATCTAAAAAACTGACAGAGTTATAGTCATGTTCGTGTGTGCTAAGGTCGACCAGCTGTGGCGGCCATCTTGAATCGGGTTGATCCCAGAAGTTAAACAGTTGTAGATGTACAGCTAAGGATTACTTTCTGTGAATTTCATTTCAATCCATCCTGTGGTTCATGACATGTTGCTAACAGACAGCGTTAACTCCAAAAATTAATGCCAAAATTTAAAAATCAAATATTCTAGTGCTCTGAGCATGTGCTGAAAATAATCAGCTAACTGACCAAATTTTAACTCATCTTCTACCACTTATCTGTGGTTTGGTTGATGATGCAACAGGTGCAGGACAGAAATCCAGACCTCCTTCTCCCTTAAACACACTCCAGCTCCTACTGGGAGTCTCCAAGGTGTTTCCAGGCCAGAGAGGATATGTACCTGTAATTACTGCAGAGAATTCTGGGTCTACCCTGGGGTCTCTTCCAAGTGGGACATGCACCCAAAGCATCCAAAGGGAGGTGTCCAGGAGTCATCCTAATCAGATTCCTAAACCACCTCAACTGACCGAGCCCCCCCCCCCCCCCCCCGCATGATGGAGCTCTTCACCGTATATCTAAGGCGGAGCTTAAAAATAGGCAAAATAAGCTCTTTTCATCCACTTGTATCCAGGATCTCGGTCTTTCTGTCATGATCCAAAACCTCACGACTCTGTGTGAACCCTCACCCCCTGAAACTGTCCTGATGACCTGACTGAAAATTGTTGGATTGTATACCTGGATTATTGAGCATGGACTTAGTTGGTTTTGAACCAGTTTGACATGACTGTCGACGTATAAGAGGGCCGGCACCAGAGGAGGCGGCGTGCCAAAGACACCATCTTAGCACCAACATAACTGGTTTGTTCCACTTTGGAGGAAGCTGTTTGGGGGAAGAATCAGTTTTGTGTTGTGTTTCCTTGACTGATGAAGCCTTCTGGATGGAAGGTGAAACTTTTCAGCACACAAAAAAAAAGAAACTGTCCAGATGACCTGACTGAAAATTGTTGGATTGTATACCTGAATTACTGAGCATGGACTTGGTCCTCACACCTCACCTTTAATATTTCTGTTTAGATTTAAAAGTGGTTGCAAACGGAATTGTTACAGCTGAGCACAGAAAGGAGTTCAGTCCGTGACCTCAAAATGGTGAGCGGCTGCATAAAAGAAAATCTGGTTTGTGTTTTTCTAAGATGCAAACATGCAGAATCAGCAAAAGTCAACTGCTGGTTCGAAGGAATAAAAAAAAACCACTGTATTACTAAGCAAGAAGCTGAAGATCTTACACATGCACTTTTACTATAAATGTCACTATTAACTAAATGAATCCAGAACTGAATGGAAATGTGTGTTTTTTTAAACTAAACTTTCATTTAGCAGGTTTGGTGTGTGACCATTAAAGAAAATCCCAGTGAGTGTAGAAAAGACTGCGAGATGGAAATAAGCAAACAGGCAGGAGCTTGTTCTCCTTTGAGTACGATGGACACACCAAGGTTTAATTCCATGAAAACAACATGTCTGTGGCGAGCCCGGCCATTAAAGAAGTCCAAACTGGTCACAAATGATCATTTGAAACAAACCCTGCAGCCTGTTACAAAGCAAAAGGAAAGAGACGTGCACAGAAATGTTAGAACAGTTCTGTTTGTTACATCAGAGCCAATGGAAAACAACAGGGCATTTTATTTGACTGTTTGTATCGGGTATTGCCTTGGTAGCGAGTCGGGTTCTGGTTGAGCTGCATAGTTGTCACCTGCATGAATGATGGACTAATTGAACAAAGTTAAACTCCTGTCAGGTTAATGACAAGAGCCTGTCCGAACCATGAACAGTAACAGGTGTGGCCGTTTCATCATCCACAAAATATTTGGCAAAAGGAGGACAAAAGTTTCACAAAAAATAAAAATATATATTTTTAAAGAAGTCTTTTCTGATATTTGAATGGAGCATTAAAATAAATAAAAAAGACTGAAGTTACATCTTAAGTGAGTTTTTGTATTTCTTGCTGCACAGTTGATTTATAGAGCATAAAGGAGAACAGATGGGTGGAACTTTTGTGTTTGTATCAGGTTTGCACGGCTCCACCCAGCCTGGAGGCAGCAGCGATGTGCAGGATAAAAAGGAGGCAGAGGCAGAGCTCCGCATCTCAGCCATCTCCTTCCCTTCAAAGCAGGCAGACCTCCTGAACCGTCTCAGCCACGATGCTCAGAAACAGCAGCATGTCCATCTCCTCGGGAGGCCTGGGTGGCTCCCGGATGCAGATGCAGTACGCCTCCAGCGTGTACGGAGGCGCAGGCGGGAGCGGAATGAGGATCTCCTCAGCCTCTCGTGGCTTTGAAGCTGCAGGTGGGAGTTATGGTTTTGGTTCAGGGGGGGAGATGGACATCCACGTTGGAGCCAACGAGAAGGCCACCATGCAAAACCTGAACGACCGTCTGGCCTCCTACCTGGAGAAGGTGCGCAAACTCGAGCAGGCCAATGCCGATCTGGAGCTGAAGATCCGAGAGTACCTTGAGAAGAAAACTGGCCCCACCGCCCGGGACTACTCGGCTTATGAGGCCACCATCGCTGAGCTGCAGGGAAAGGTCACGTACAGGACCTTGTAGCTCCACAAAGTACCCAAATCAGATATAATGTTGAACAATTTATTTTCTTTATCCAACAGATTCAGGAAGCTATTCAGAAAAATGGAACCGTCCTTTTGGCCCAGGAGAACGCAAAGCTGGCAGCCGACGACTTCAAGACCAAGTAAGTATCGGAAACAATGGTTGGGGAAAAAATGGAACAGATGTTCTAGATGAAAATGTTTATTTGTCGCCTCGCAGGTTTGAGAATGAGCTTGCCATGCGTCAGTCGGTGGAAGCAGATCTTGGCGAGCTAAGGAGAGTTCTGGATCAGCTGACGTTGACCCGGTCTGACCTGGAGATGCAGAAAGAAAGCCTCCAAGAGGAGCTGGTGTTCCTTAAAAAGAACCACCAGGAGGTGAGTGACAGACGTTCAAGTCCATCTCCCACGCAGCAAAAAGATCTGCTACAAACATACAAACGTGTTGACTCGACAGGAAATGGAGGCGATCAGGGCCCAAATGAGCGGTCAGATCAATGTGGAGGTGGACGCCAAGCCACAGCAAGACCTGAACAAGATTATGGATGAGATCCGCGAGCAGTACGAGGCTGTGGCTGCAAAGAACCAGAAAGAACTTCAAGCCTGGTTTGATGCAAAGGTGAGAAAATAATGTCTGTGTCAGCGAATTGATTACACTGTCTTTGGATAGATTTGTTCCTCTGACGTCTTCTCCTGTCTCCTGCAGTCGACGGCACTGAACAAAGAGGTGGCGGTGAGCTCAGAGACTCTCCAAACATCCAAAACAGAAATCACCGATCTTCGTCGCACATTGCAAAACCTTGAGATCGAGCTACAGTCACAACTCAGCATGGTACATGACCCCGAGCTGGCGTTTTACTCCCCTGTCCCCCTCATCGTGTGCGCACGACGAGGGTTTTAAATACATTGCCTCCTTCCTCTCCTCAGAAATCAAGGCTGGAAGAGAATCTGGCTGAAACACAATCCCGATACGCTGCGAAGCTCCAAGGCTTCCAGATGCAGGTGGAGCTTCTGGAGGAGCAACTGAAGCAGCTGCACAGCGACATGAAACGGCAGAACCAAGACTACGCGATGCTGCTCGACATCAAGACGCGGCTGGAGCTGGAGATCGCAGAGTACAGGAGGCTGCTGGACGGAGAGGCCAGGTGAGGTACACACCTGCACATATTCTGCCCTTTGAGGCTAAACCTGTTCATTTCATCTTGAGTTTGACTCCATCTCTGTTTGTCCGCAGCGCTGGCAGCTCAGGAAGCTCAGGAAGCAGCACGGCTAAAAAGGTCATCGTCTACACAGAGGAGGTGAAGGACAGAAAAGTCTCATCCAGAACCTGAAACACGAGGCGTCATCTGGAAGCACAATGCCGTTCACTTCCTCTAAAAAATACCTACGTGATGCAATAAAAGCCTCTCAGTTCGCCAGATGTGTTTTGGTCTCATTTCTATGTGCATGATTTCATATAATCTCTTGATGGTGCCAAAAACCAAATCCGTTTCCTGTTCATCCTGCCGACAGCTTCTTTGAGTAACGTTACGTCTAAAAATATTTGTATTTTGGAACGTAGTAATTTCAATCTCTACTCTGAATGACATCATTTTAACTTCAGGCTGAGAATAAAATGTCTTAGATGTATTTAAACATAGTCATACAATTAAAAGCCCAACATTACCTCAGTAAATTGATATCACCAAGATTACCCTAATCTGTTTGCACTTGGAATAGCACTGTGAAGGACCGTCAGCTAATACCTCAAATTTTTAGCTCATATTTGTAAAATTAATTAAAGCAGGGCTATTCAACACAACTGCTCAGGGGGGCGTAATTTCTAAAAGTAAGCAGCTCAGGGGCCGGACATCCTGCGATTAAAGTCATTTCAGTTACATTTAATTTTTTTTATTGTATTGCATTGAATCATAAATGCAATAAACAGAACTCAAAACCCAAAACCAAAATATACTGTACATTTGCATATATATATATATATACATAAACTTATCTATATATTTATATACTGTATCTATACATATACAGATACACACACACATATACATATATATATATTGTATCTATACATATACATATGAGTATATAAATGTATGTATGTATGTGCATATATATATTTGCTTGTTTGTTTTTTGTTTTAATGATGTGGGCCAGATTGAAGTCACCCGTGGGCTGGAAATGGCCCATGGGCCGCCAGTTGAATAGCCCTGCTATAAAGTATAGCCATGTTTATGCTGGTTAACGTTAATTAGCTGTGGCAGCCAGCCTTAAATAAGCTGGCTTGAAAAGTTGTAGATGTGCAAACGGTTAGTTTCTGAGAGTTTCTTTAAAATCTGTCCAGTGTTTCATGAGATATTTTACTAACAGTAGAGACAAACTACCAGATTCTCGCTCTACCTTCAGCAGCAGGTGATAATTAGCAAAAAACGGGTTAGAGGAGCTGCAGAAAGTTATGAACAAGAAGCTCGTTGTTCAAGCTGAAGCTCAAAAAATCAGCTCAGATATCTAAGGAAAGACTCGTAAATTCTTCCACTCAGTTTCTTTGGAGCTGAACTCTTCAGGCTCAGAACAGCACCACAACAATATGAGCCTAAACAATATTTAAGTCTCAGTTTCTCTGCACTCAGGACCATGAGCAGCCTTCATTTACACGTTTACAGTTTGGTAAATCAGATGCATCAAGTCAGTCTTTAACTGTTTGTTTTTGCTTGATTGTATGTAAGAGTCAGCGAGGATCTTGGTCTCTGCTCCTGAGACAGTCCAACACATAACCGCAGGGTGTAAGATCAAAGCATACATGGAACGCCAGAACCAAGTCGCTGGAATAGTGGAACATCTGCGAGTATGGACGGGATGTCCCACAGTCAAAGTAAGAGACGCCACCAAGGGTTGTGGAGAATGGCAGGGCTATGATACTGGGGGACTTCCAGATCCAGACTGACAAACAGGTCGATTAACCAACCGGACATTGTGGTGGTCGACAAGCTACTGAAGATGACAGTGGTGATAGATGTTGCAATCCAAAGTGACTGTAAGGAGCACGAGAAGACAGAGGAATACCGAAGGCTTCTTCTTTTGGCTGCTCCCTTCCTTAGGGTTCGCCACAGAGAACTATCTCACTCAGAGACTTGGTAATCATTTTTATGCTGGATGTCCTTCTGACACAACCACAGACCACTGAGCTACCACAGCTCTCTGTGTGGAACAGAGTGCTGCCATCTAGGGTGCACGAGGGAGCAGATGGCGGGGGTTAAAGGCCTTGCTCAAGGGCCCAGAGTGGGGTAAACAATGGAGGAGGCAGGTATGGGCGTTTCACCATTCCCACCCTTTCCCTCTAAAAATACCAAGGGCTGAAAGAGGAAATAGAGAAGTTGTGGAGAGTCAAAGTGTCAGTAGTCCCAGTGATCATTGAAGCATTTGGTGCTGTGACCCCCAAACTGGAAGAGTGACTCCAACAGATCCCAGGAGCAACCTCAGAAATCTCCAGAAGACTACAATCTTAGGAGAAGATACAATATTGCTACTACTGAAGATAAGATGCTGCACAGAACCCTCGAGCTCCCACAGGTTTGAAGTTTGAGTTTGAAGTCAAGTGGAGCTGCCCAAGTGAATGAGCAGAGCAAGGTTATTTAGTGTGTGTGTATATTGTATGTGTGCATATA